ACGTGTAAACACTAATTTGGGTATTTTCTTGAAGGTCTACAAGTCTGAGAAATAGGTTTCATATGCAAATACAATAGGCCGCCTATTTTCAGTGGTCACAGTGTTGGTGTATAAAGTGTGAGGCTTTACAGCCTCAGAGGAGGGAGTGTTGTGAATTATTTTGGAGCATTATAGCCTAAATTGTTATCATTAATTACTAGAGCAATGGTGGTCTCCATCGTCATCATTTAAAGTGTTATTTTATAGTGTAAAGTTTAACTACTGAGTGTTTAACTACTGAGTGTTTAATGAGTGTGTTCAAACTCATATTTTATTCTTATACGCTGTGTGTTTATCATATATTATTCTTATTCTCTGTGAACGTGTGCTTTTTAATGTGCCTACATGAGCAGAGAAGCTGCTCAGGCCGCGCAGGCAAAACCTAGCCAACCGTAACCCACTCATTAGAAGCAAGGCACATGCAGAAAGTCACGTACGCCAGGGCTGAGATCATCGCGAACTGAAGCCAAGAATGAGATCATGACATGTTATGATTTATGGCAACTGGTACGGCTAGGTACTGCATGCAACCAAGCTCTGCGCTGCTGAAAGTTAACTTGTATGAGACAAAGCACTCTCATGGTTGGCATTGCTAAATCATGTAATTGTTCATTGAATCACGTTATACATGTATGAAATATGTTATTCCTTATCAATTCTTTTAAAAAATACGATTGTAAGTGTTTAAGTTTTAATGGTGTCAAACTATGCCTGTATAACTTTAAAAAATACAGTGGGACTGAAGTTGAAACATATTGGTGGATTTCTAATCCAGTAATGTAAAAAATATAAAGAGAGATAAATGGTAACAATAATTACATGTAATAATAGTTAAAAAGTGGAAATTGTAACATTAATGAAAGGGTTAATTTGGTAAAACAGTACAAGAAAAAGGCCACTAGATGGCAGTAGAGGATAAGAAATTCACCAAAGGGGAGGAATGGTCAGCGAACACCATAGGTGGAGTTAAGGAGTAACGCCCACCTAGAAGGAGGAGATAAGGAGGAGTTAAGATGTAACGCCCACCTGAAGGGAGGGACAAGGTGGAGCTTAAGGTGAATATAAGGCGATGTTCGCTGACCACCAACTCGGTTCCATCCTGAGACCTGCAGGGATGTTGCTCGGGTTTATCGGTCCTTTATTGGAATAAACTCTTTTGCACCGACTCTTGACCGTCTCCAGTGAAGTTTTTGACTACGCAGTCTTTTGACTAAAGAAGAAATATAATAGAGTAATTTTATTGAGTTTATTACGTTGGTTAGGGTAGGGACCAGGTCTTTTACTGGCCCGGCCGGTCCTTATTTCCGACCCGACAGAGTCCCTCTGCTGAGATAGTGGAGGGCAGTTCAGTGACTCTGACCTGCAGCAGTGATGCTAACCCAGCAGCTAAATACACCTGGTACAAGAGGAACGGAAATCCAAACCTTCATCCTCTCGGTAAAGAACAAATGCTTGTCTTCAGGTCCATCCAGTCCTCTGACTCTGGAGAGTATTACTGTGCAGCTGTGAATGATCTGGGGAGGAAGACATCTGGATTTGTCTCTATTAACGTGAAATGTGAGTAAAACGCAGCTAATTTAAGAACAACACATAATTTAATTAATGACAACTTCTTAAAGCTTAATTATCCAGTCAAATGTTTTGCTGATCATGCACTTTCTTCAGCTCTGCCTGTTTCACATTCACAGCAGCTACAACAGATGATTAAAGGCGGTTTTATTTCGAGTGAACGCTGAGTCAATGCTGATTTCAGCTCAATGAATAGAGGGGTAGTACTTTTCTCATTGATACCTTGAATAATTTCCAAAGTATTCAAGATTTTCCAGGAACACTTTGTAAGTGAATGGAGTGAAGGATTAAATCCTCCTCATCCCTACTCAACTCTGTAAGGGTACTAGTTCAGCACACTTTCAGCTACAGACTTGATTTAAACTTTAAATTGGTCACAAGAAGCCAGGTTCAGATTGGGACCAATTTCAGCCCTGGCAATGTGGTTTTCACCGGCCCAACGAAGTGATGACGTTAAAACACTGTAGGTGTACACGGCAAGGAAAACTGAATTAACACCAAAACCAAAACCAAAACAAAGCGCACCTGACACCGAGGCCTCTATACTCAGCACCATCTTGGTGGCTTATACACCCCTATTATTAGTCATACCCAAAACAAAATACTTGATAGTAGGCCATCATCTGTACATTATAAAGGGGGATGCATTTTATGGTGGGTTGAAATTACAGTCTGAAACAATTTGTATCCCACTACAACTTTTGCCAGGAAAATAGAAACTTCTCCATAATCACCCCTGTTATTAGTCATGATGTGAATATACACAAAATTAAATACTTGATGGTAGGCCATCATCTGTGTGTTGTGGACGGGGATACATATTTTGGCAGTCTGCATGTCCAGCCTGGTAGGACCAGTAGGCTACTGCTATCGCTTTTTGTGTGAAAATAATCAGAATCAGAAAGAGCTTTAGTAGTATTTTACACGTACGAGGAATTTGCTTTAGTGATAAGGTGCTACTCGTACACAAACATAACTAAATACTAAATAAATGTATAAATATATAAATATGGAATAAACAAATAAACAAATGCAAGTTATATAAGAATAATAAAATATGTTGTTTAAATGCAATGCATTATTAAATTGTTATGATAATAATTTACCTTTTAAGGAGGGCGACTCAGAACAATTTCCAGCAATATCCAAAGGCTATCCATGCAATGGAAACATGGATTACAAAGACAAATATTGTCTACAATGCTGCATTCAGTTTAAATACATTTCGAGTAAAGAAGATGTAATGCTGAGGTGATCAAAGTGTTAAACTGATTACAGTGATCTTGATTTTACAGTCTCGATTGTGTAGATATTTGTAGGAGCAGCTTGCTTGAAAAAGTCTGTCTGTATAGCTTCCAAACAGTAACTTGGATGACAAAGTGATCAACTACGTTTTCAATTATAACATCGTCAGAGTATCGCAAAATAAATGTTTGCTTTGCGAGGGACACTGAAACTGCTCGTTTTGTTTAGACATTCTCAATTCAGTGCACTGAATAATACAAAGAAAAAATCCACATGTTTCATAATTTTTCATTTACTTTCGTGAAGACGAAAGTCCGCATTCACTGTTGAATGCACACGTGCTCCCGCGGCAGGGGAACACTTTCTATCAGGGATAACTACCTTGGCAAGACACCAGACAGTGGCGGTGTAACGTCCTAAAGGATCCGATTAGTTGAGACATATTTTTTCTGCCTTTCGCATCAGCACCATATCGTCGCAAGGAAGATATATTACTATGATTTGTAGATTTTTTTGTTCAGAGGGGGCCATAGGGGGTCCAAGGTCTGTTTAACAGGGGCACTGGCCCCTGTTGGGTCCCCCCCAAAACCGCCACAGCTCCTTTGGGGTGTTTCAGTTTGGAGTCAGGCTGTCTGCTTGAGGGGTGATAACTTCCCCGTTCTTAGGGAAAGACAAAGGGGAGATGCTGTGTTCTTTCTTTTGGGATAAAAAAAATTAAGTGTTCACTGGTTGGTTCACTACACAATGATACGTTCCATAAACTGTCGTCTTTGACGCACCTGCTCTCTTGCGATAGACATTTGATTTACATTGAGCATCTAACTTATATTTCCTTTGCTGATCCTTAAAAAAGCAGGTGTCTGCACATTCTCTATGAGGGCCACTTCTGTCATGTTCCATTACTCTTTGATGCACATGTCTCCAGTCCCGCATTCCCACTGTAAATGGGTTGGAAACCGACCACAAGCCCCTGATTCCTCTACTAGGCTCAAAGAGCTTAGATGAACTTCCTCCACGCATACAGCGTCTACGCATGCGTCTAATGAGGTTTGCCTACACCATATCACATGTGGCTGGCAAAGACAATGCAGCTGCAGATGTGCTGTCCCGAGCTCCTGTCAGCCACACTGCAGAAGGATTGCAGGGGAAGGAAATCAATCTCTATGTTGACTCTGTCATAGCAAGTCTCCCAGCTACAGAAAAGAGGTTAAGAGAAATTCAGAGACACCAGGACGACGACGCCAAACTCCAGCAGTTGAAGAAATTCTGTGTCGAAGGATGGCCAGACAAGTTCTCCATTGAAGAGTGTTCCAGCCCAATCTGTCATTTTCAGGTGAGCTCACAGTCCAAAACGGTCTACTACTGTGTGGCAGCAGGATTGTCATCCCAGCATCACTCAGGGCAGACATCCTGTCCAAGCTGCACGAGGGCCACCTGGGAATAACAAAATGCAGAGAGCGAGCTAAACATTCAGTGTGGTGGCCGGGCCTCAGCAGAGTGCTGACACAAATGATAGAGAAATGTGATGTGTGTAGCTGTGAGAAAATAAATCGATGAGACCTAAAGCGATGATGCCTACTGAGTTCCCGCCAAGAACATGGTCTACTGTAGGAGCAGATTTGTTCCAGATAGAAAACAAACAATACCTGGTCATTGTGGACTATTTCTCAAGATATTTTGAAGTGGCCAAACTGACATCCACAACATCTGGAGCTGTGATCGATCACTTCAAGTCTATCTTTGCCCGTCATGGTATACCTGAAGTGGTCCGCTCAGACAACAGCCCACAGTTTGCATCCGAGACCTTCAGAAAGTTCGCACAGGATTGGGGCTTTAGTCATGTGACCTCCAGTCCCCATTTTCCCCAGAGCAACGGGGAGGCTGAGCGTGCTGTGAGGACAATCAAAAGTCTCCTCAGGAAATCCAGCGACGCTTATCTCGCCCTGATGGCCTATCGAGCTGCTGCCCTGGCAAATGGATACAGTCACACTGAGCTTCTGATGGGAAGGAAAATAAGAACACCAGTTCCTGCCATTCCATCCAAGCTCAACCCAGGGTGCGCAGACATGGACAACTTGAAAAGGACAGAACAAAAGTACAGACAAAAACTGTGACAGATCTATGACCGAAGACACAGACCACGCGACATGTCATACCTTCACCCCGGTGATCATGTGTGGGTCAAAGATACAGTGGAAAGAGGCACTGTGGTGTCTACTGCCGGCACGCCAAGGCCCTACATCATTGAGACGCCCGGGGGCGCTCTGCGAAGAAACAGATGCCATCTTTCGCCAACCCCTGTGGCTCCTGAAAAACCTTCCAACTCAATTGAGCCAGCACTTGAGAGCACTGTTCCTGACGCCGCACACACTCCTGTCACACCAGGAGCCCAGTGTGAAGATTACATGATCGCAAGGGGTGCGATTTAACAAAAAAGTGTGCTGTGTGTGACACTTCGTCTCTCTTTTTGCACTGCAGTTTTCTCATTATCCTCGCCCACACACAGGGTTCTACAGTGGGACCATTTCACTCGCTTATGACCCTTATTCATGAGCACAGTGCGCAAGTAAAGACTACAATCGATCATAATCCCCAACGCACCACGTTGCTAACTTGTAGCTAATCATTCCAAACATAGTCGGACTGGCCACCAGGAGCACCAGGAGCACCAGGAGCACCAGTCGCTCCGTGGCCCTACCAGAAAACCACCTCTAAAGTTTCAGATGCTCCCACACATTTTGGCTATAAAACCACTGGCTACACTGGCTGGTGAGGGAAAAAAGTTAATGTTTATTGTTTTTGTTTTGCTAAATACATTTTGCTAGCCTGGATTTTGTTAGGTGGCGACATTTTTTGGATTGTAGGAAGGGCCAACTCTGCTCATTGATAGTCAGCCAGGGCCATCATTGCTGTCAGGGTTTGGTATGGGTGAAGCAGGTAGTAGGTTGGAGGACCCAAATGCAGGACACGAAAGCCAGCAGGAACAGTTCAGAGGGGTTTTAATAAGCAAACAAAAGACGAGCACACTTACAACAGAGTGGCTGATTGACTGAGTCCAAAAACAAAGGCTGTCCAACAGAAATCCAAAAGGGTGAAAACCAGAATCCAAAAAATGAGCAGGGTAACAGGGAGACACGGCGAGTAAGGCTGAAGACACGAGAACAACTGCTACACAGGGTGACAACATACAATGACCCGACAAAGACAAGACAGAAACACCAGGTATATATACACACACACAGGGACTAACGAGCAGGGCGGGAGCAACGCAGGTGAAAGACATGAGACTAATGAGACACAGGCAGGGAGAGAGAGAGCGAGTGTAGGGGAAAACAGAGACAGAAATGCAGAGTGTGACAATTGCAGTATTTAGAACACATTTCAGCAAGTTTGTGTCATGTTGTCTGTCAGTCTCTTCAATTTTAATGAGTAAAAAAGTGGTCCCAACACACAGCTCTGTCTGCTGCCAGTCACAAAGCCATGTCCAAAGTTTCAGATGCTTCCACACACATAACTATTACTCATTTCAACACAACACAAAGAAATCTGTCCTCATTTTGGTTCATTTAATTGATCTTTTCCAGATGCTCCAAAGCTTCCCTCTGTGTCAGCGAGTCTCTCTGCTGAGATAGTGGAGGGCAGTTCAGTGACTCTGACCTGCAGCAGTGATGCTAACCCAGCAGCTAAATATACCTGCCACAACGAGAATGGATATCCAAACCTTCATCCTCTCAGGCCCCATCCACACTACTGCGTTTGCGAATTAAAATGGAGACCTTTTGCTACGTTTGCACCTCCCATCCAGACTACAACGATGAAAACGAAGACCTAAAACGGAGAAGTTCGGAAACGCTGCCGACCCCGTTTTGCGATTCAAAACTCTGGAGGGCGTTTTAGTGAAGACGGGCCAAATTGGAGGACTTTAGAAACATGCTCGGCTCTCTGATTGGGTCTTGCAAAGCAGAAAAAAGATGCTGCTGACTGGGTTTTTGACATATTTTTATCAAAATATTCTGTACTGTGCAAATAACACTCATCTGCCTACACTTGTACTGTGCATGTCGCTCCCAGTCTGTTTTCTGATGCCACACTCCCGTGTTACATTCAGTAACAGTCCCAGCTCATTTTTGATCTATGCAACAAAAAAAACTGGTATGATGCTTAGTCTGTATTTATTTATTCTTTCTGCTGTAAATCTGCTGTAACTACAGAATAGACCATCGGCTTTATGTTTACACTGGCACGCGCATGCCCAGTGCACCTGAACGGGTCCTAGCTGTGCGTTTTCAGTCGTTTTAATGTGTGATCAACTCCAAAATGCAGCGGAAACACGGGTGTGGACGGAGATCATATTCATTTTAATTCTCCGTTTGTAAACTAAAACGGAGTAGTGTGGATGGGGCCTCAGTAAAGAACCACAGCTTGTCTTCGGCTCCATTCAGTCCTCTGACTCTGGAAAGTATAACTGTGTAGCTGAGAACAAGCTGGTGAAGAAGATATCTAAATCAGTCTTTATTAAAGTGAAATGTGAGTAAAACACAACAAATTTAAAAAGCATCATTCAACTTCAGACAACTTTTTAAAGCTTAACTATCCAGTCAAATATTTTGGTTTCCCAAATCTGCATGGAAGTTCAGAGGATTCAATCCAGATAACCACCTCACCTAAAATTTCAGATGCTCCCACACATCTTGGCTAGTAACTTTGGAAAACCACTAGCTACAGTGGCTGGTGAGGGAGTAAGTTAATGTGTTGTATTTTGTTTTGCTAAATACATTTTGCTAGAAACAAAATTGCTGCCTGGATTTTTATTAGGTGGCAACATTTATTAGGTGGCAACATTTTTTGGATTGTAGGAAGGGCTAACTTTTTTAACCCCCACACAGTTAAATTACAGTACAAATATAGTTGTTAGATGTTATATAGTTGTTTTCTGAAATAGCAATTTTGACCATGAAATTATACATGTCAAAACATAAAGGAAATATAAAGTACATAGATTTCTTAGCTTGTGCTAACCAGGAATATAATATCAATAAGTATATAGGCCCAACTCTGCTAATAGAAAGTTAATCAGGGACACAATTCCAGTATTTACAGCACATTTCAACATTTTTGCTCATAAAAAATGTATGAAGGACATTCTTCTTGCCCTCCTATTATGCTGTGTTTGTTAGGATTTGGTTTTGTGCTGTTGTTTTTCCTGTGTTTACTTGATATTGTCATGGTTTGGAGTTTTGTAGTCTAGTTTATTATTTTGGCTCATTCGCTTTAAGTTGTCATTGTAACTGTCTTATCTCTCATCTTAGTTCTTGGTCCTGTGCTTTAGTTCATGTTTAGTGTTTTCCTTATCGTTGTAGTTCTGTATTTTCTCATTATGGTCTGTCTTAGTCCTTAGTCTTATCTCCATGTTTTAGGGTAGTCTTGTCTCCTGTTTGCTCCCGTCTCTGTCTGTGTCCTGATTTTGCTGTCTTTCCATGTTTTTGCATTTTACTTTGGTAGATCTGTTCTTGTGTGTTCCTGTGAACTTTACTTCCTGTTTATTTCAGTAACCTTCTGTACCTGGTGTCCTTGTCTAGCTTTGTCTGATTACCTGATGTATCTCAGCTGTGTTTCCCTCCCTGCTCGTTTACCTGTGTGTGTGTGTGTGTGTGTGTGTGTATATTGTCCAAAGTTTTCTTCAGTCTTTGTCACGTCCTTGTATTGTCTGTATTGTCTGCATTATCTGCGTCGTCCGTGTTGAGTGTTCTGTGCCTTCCCTGCCCTTTTGGATTACTTCATTGGTTTGTACTTTGTTCACGGATTCTTCCCTTTGGATTATGTTTTGTTTGGAGTTGGAGTTCCCTTTTGTTTGAACATTTGCTGCTGAGCTCCCAGTGTTAGCCTGTTTGTCTTTTTGTAAATAAATCTTTGTTTGAATTGCATCCTCCTCGCCTACGTCTGCATTTGGGTCCACACCTCCGCCTTCACTCCGCCAATCATGACAGTGTTCTCATACGACGCAAATTTAATCTCACGCAGGTGAAAAACTACTTAGTGTTCGCACACAACGCGATAAACAAATAAACACAACCCGCAAATTCTACAGCTAAATGAACGCAAAGTAAACATTTTGCTGTGATTTAATTGCAATAAATGGATCAAACTGATGCCGAAATAACTACAATATGATGCCGATTTGTTAAACAAATTAATTCATGCTTTGCCAGGTCTGTCAGCAGGACAGCAGGACAACAACTTTTAAAATGTTGGTTTTCTGAATGGAGTTCGGTTTGAGCTGGGCTATGCTAACTTGTTCACAGTAAAGTACAACGATACCTGGAATAAAGTTACAGACACACATTTTCTGAACTCACCAGGTAGTTCAACTTCCTCGCTTTCTTTTCTCCAAGTAATGTTCAGTTTTGTCCGGTCTTTTATATAAATATGAAGTAGTAGTCCAACAGAGCTCTGGGAGCCAGTCGACGCTAACAACAACAGTGGAACCAGATGCTAGACACTAGCTGCCGAAAAACTCCAGTGAAGATGAATCAACGTTGTATTCCCAAAAACTAAAGTTAAAAAGCAAATTTAATAAAAGCAGTTAAGTCTGAGCTTCTCCCGCGAGTAAACAGCGTTGTTGTCAGAGCATAATCCAGTCCAATTACGTGTGTTTATTTGTCCAAAAACTGCAGCGCTGCTCCCCGTACACTTCCCCGTTCGTCAGCCAGCGGCATTTTGATTCCCCGCTCTCCCTGGTCCTCTTCAAACAATGCCGGACAATCTCACGCTGATAGGCTTTCACAACATAGCATCCAACGAATTTCTCGCTCAAGTTAAAAATTTTGAACTCGTGCGACCCAGCTAAAGTCGCAACAAATGCATCTTCCGCACCGCCCAGAGTGAATTTGCATTTTTTGCATTGACTTTGTATTTAATCAAGCCTCCCAAAACGCTGGATTCACTTTCAGTGTGAACACAGCTTTAGATTTTAGAATAACTCAAGTGGCCCAAACACACAGCTCTGTCTGCTGCCAGTCACAAACCCACCTTCAAAAAAAAAGTCACCTCCAAAGTTTCAGATGCTTCCACACACATAAGGAAAAAGAAAACACATTAAAATATAATTTTTTTAAAGGGTAAAATAGAAAATAAAAACAGCGTACAACACATAACTATTACTCATTTCAATACAACATGTAGCACCAAAGAAATCTATCCTCATTTTTTTTAAATTTATTTATATTTTCCAGATGCTCCAAAGCTTCCCTCTGTGTCAGTGAGTCCCTCTGCTGAGATAGTGGAGGGCAGTTCAGTGACTCTGACCTGTAGCAGTGATGCTAACCCAACTAAATACACCTGGTACAAGAAGAATGAAGACTCACCAAAAGCATCAGGACAGAACTTCACCATCACTGACATCAGAGCTGAACACAGTG